GTCACAGCTTCTTACGACAAATAATTCACGGTCGGTCGATAAATAATTTAGCCGGGTTAATAAAATAAATGTCACTCAGCCTCTCGGGTCAGCTTCCTTGTTCGCATTTCCCTTGGGAACGGCCTGTCGCCTCTCCTCAAGAAGACGCGACTTTAGCTTGTTCGCTCAAAGGAGTTTACGAGTCGAAAGATTTAATGCATACTATTTTCTTCCAGTTCACATCGATCATTCCTTTTTTCTGAGATTTATTCTTTTCATTATTCGCTTTGTATTCATTAATAAGTCCCACATCGATTTATTCTTTCGATCTCGATTGACGCGCAGCTTTGACGATTCCTTTCGTGCCATGTCGCAATCAATTATTGTGGAGCGATATTGGAGCATCCCGTGGAGGGATGATCCATTATCATCGCACGCAGAGGATGCGGAATCCACCTCGCACGATCGTCCGGTCACGACAGAAACAGGCTGGTGATGTAACGCGATGGTTCCTACATCGTCCTTAGAACGCGCGCCATCGATAGACAAGCGATAATCGATTCGTGGAAGAAGGGCTCGAGATCGATCGAGTTCGCCGAACGCGAGTTTTAATCGTGCGGTTATGTCGCGAATCGGGAATATATTTTTCGTCCGCACCGTTCGATTTCCGTGAGAGATCGTCCTTGGAATCACGCGAGCCGACGACGAGAGGAAGAGATGCGCCGCGCGCAAAAAATCGCCGGGCTAATTGTCGTCTAGATTGTTGTTGGGATTAGATGACGGGAACGTTAGCATAATCGGTACAACGATCGAAGGTGACCAGACGTGGAATCCATAAGCGATCGACGATGGATTTTATACCTGCCTGCTGCGCGCGAGCAGGGATCGAACCGCTTTCGTGAAATTGGGGTGACCCTAACGACGATCGAGCATCCTCCGTCTCTCTTCCTCGACGGCCAAGTGCACAGATCGCGTTTCTTTAAATATCTAAGTAATTGCACGGACGGACGCGCGCGTACACTGGCAATTACACGTGAAAATTATGTCGGGAAATTATAGGGTGGAATCCGAAGGAGAAATAGAAGGAAGGGTACAACGTCGGAGAGGAGAGAATGATAGCGTGACTAATGCGCTCTTTGTCAACGCCGGGATAATCGCAACGATTTTCGCGAATAACTCATTTTACTCGGAGCAATTTGCCATTTTGCGATCTTACTCGGAGATTAAATTTTCCTACGTATTGAGACGCGAGAGTCATCATTAGCGACTCCATCATTAGCGTACTCCAATATGCATATACGCGCTCAAATTATATATTTTTAACGAAAAAAAAATGATATAATTGACGGGACAAACATTATATTAATACGATGATAACACGTCGTGATAATTAATCGCAGCGGTAAAAAATGAATGAAAAAATCGTCGCGTATATAAGTGGCAGAAACAATCGAAATAATCTCTGATGGTCAAATTCACGTTGATGTGCGCGATTAAACGGACAAGACGGAAAACGTCGCGTCGCGGCACATTGCATAATTATGGGATCCTCGTTGCGGGATGCTGACAGCTCCGAGCCTGGACCGGTTGCCGCGTAAACAGTATTAATCACAATGCGCGTATTTGCACGCACGTCGCGTCACTACGACCCTACGTGATGCTCGTAGTTACAGTAGAGTTACCTCCGTAGGTGTTTGCACCGTTTCTACCTACATGTGCTTGTACGCGCGCTGACAGTTCGTTTGAACGCAATTAACGTGCCGCCTGTGATGGCATAAGAGAACGAAAACGGCGAAAGATAAATAATTAATTAAATAATAAATAATTCAATTAATATAAATAATAATAAATAATTAATAATAAATAATTAAATGTTTTGTAGCGATCAAAATAGACGAAGAGTCAATCGTTTGACAGATCTTGATCCGAATATTTTTCAGCCTACTATTTATCCGCGATAAGTATGAATCTTATTTTCATATAATTTCTACAAAATAGCGTATAATTCATTATTAAGTGTCGTACTCATAAAAGTGTCACGGTTAACTCCTTTGAACCTGATTAGATTAGAATGATAAAATATATTCCATAATTAATGTGCATAGCGCTGCCTGTCATCGTTTAATTAATAATCAATAAAATTTAAATTTATTTAAATACTTGATATTACGCATCTCGCGTTCTATAAAAACTTGATTTATCTTTGTCCTCTAGTTAATTTACTCGATGAAACGTTAACGCGCATTGAACTGAGACGAATCGTATTAAACCAAGTATTATATTAAAGGATTATGATGATATTGATCGTATACTATTCTCGTAATACAAATCGACATCGATGCCGGCAGCAATCGCGTGTGGTTATCAAAATGACAAGAAACAAAGCATCTTACGACGCGTTCCACGTGCCCGTTTTGTGTCTGTCGTCGTCGACACGTTTCTTCAAGAACGTCGTCTCGGCAGCCACGAAATCATGACCGTAAATGTAAATGGGCGACGTTATCCCGTTAGCAAGAGGGAGAATGAGGAAGAAACGAGAAGCAAAATCAAATGAGGAAGAGGGAGAGAGAGAGAAAGTGGAAGCAGAAAGAGTCGATCGTACGATGAGGTTCAACTTTATGAATATTATTTTCCAGCAGATGTCCTGGACGATAGGACGTCGTCGCCGTCGTCGTCGTCGTAATTAATGACATCGCGACAGCGCGACGGAGAGGGTGGAAATCCCTCCCAAGTTCGGGACTGGTTGAAGTGAGACGACGGACGAAAGACGAGGTAGAGGCGAGGGAGGACCGATGGATGGAGATGCGGAGGCAGCGCGTAAGGGGACGTCGACGATAAGGAACCCAACGTAGGAAGGCAGCGAGAGACTGACGGCGGATGGTATTCGACGACGACAGACAATGCGCGCCTGAATTATGCCGGAATGACTGGGTAGTTTTAAAGCCAGGAAGCCGACATTAGCGCATTGATATCGAACATTCTGACTGCGCGGGGAACCATTAATATTACTTACTTCATAACGGGCCGCGGTACGCCGAGGGTCGACCGGCAACTCTGCAACTCCGCCTTCATCCGCCCGTAACGACTGCTTATCCGCCAGTCATACATATCCGAAATTCAGTTCTATAGGTATCACTCGTGAAGAGAATGATCGATACATGCAATTACGACGAGTAAAAATTATAATTTCGCTATAAGCTGTGACCTCTCGGCACGTGTCAAGCGAGAAGATGATCACATTATTGGATAAAAAATACTCTAATAAATCTGAATACGGACAAACGGACTAACGTGAGACCGATGAGATTTAATTGACCGACCTGACGGATAGACTTGAGGGGAAATTGGAGTTTTCCTCCGAGTAGATCAAATGGATTAGCGGGAACAAATCATCGAGATTAAAACGCGGCGAGGGAGAAGGAACGAGAGACGACAGAAGGAGTAACGCGGTCTTCGATCGTCCCGGCTGTGCTTGTAAAATCAGAGAAGAGGACAAACAATTAATAAAGCCGGCGCCGTCGATTAATCAGAATTTAACTCGCAGTTAAATACTCGTGGATCGCCCTCGGCTGCGCGGCTGCTCTCGCGCGTATCTCGAGGGAACGAACGAGTGCGCGGGCCACGCAGGATAAACAAAGGTTTACATCAGTGTCAGTCGCAACAAGTCCGAATTCGTCTAGGGTTCTCGCCATGAATATTCACGGTGTGCTCGCCGGTCCGCCGCCCTTCCACACCAAACCGTCCCCGTCCCCCTCTTGCCGCCGCCGACGCCGCCCGCCCCCGCATTCGCTCCCCGTGGCCTCGTGCCCATTTACCACCCCCTGCGATATCCATCGAACGGCCACCAGTCAAAGGCTGAAATCACAATACGCGTTTGTCCGGTTGACGAAGTCGACGGTGGGGTCGACGGTAAAGCAAATAGAACGAGAGAGAGAAAGAGAAAGGGTGGCGCGCAGTCCAAGTGGGGAAGCGCGCGCGGGGACCGCGCGGAGCGAGTGGTCGGCGGCGGGGCTCGATCAGTGGTCATTGCCTTTGAATTGGAAATTACGTTTCGGACGGCCAAGTGTCGATTTTCACCCCCTCATATTAACGGCTCTCTGTCGTTCGAGGACCGACTTCTCCCTCTCTCGCATCTACGTCCTTCGACGAACGAGGGTAAAATTGAAGATTTTCGACATGCTTGACCCGCTCCGAGTGCTCGTCGAGGACTACCCTCGTCTCCCTCGCGTCGCTCCAACTTTTTATTTCCCGAGAAGACACGAGACACCGAATTCAACGCGAAAGCAACACGATAATATTGCAGAGCACGTTGTTTCGCAGCCTCGAGGCCGACGAAGGGGCGGAAGAATGCGGGGGGACGCAGAGCCCCTTCCCGAAATCAACCCTTTCGGGCGCGAGTATTTCGCAAGCGCTCGAATGATTTAATCCCCGAATGATGGACGGGCACGTCGCGACGATGATCTGCGTGGCGTGAAGTGACAAGTGGTTAGGATCACGCGGAAACCTCGGTGTGACTCGGCTCTCCGGCCACGACGGTGGCTGTGTGTTGGTATCGGATGAAACGCAGGTCGCGCTGGATGGATTTTGCGGCGGGGTAGGTGGCAAGGGGGCGGAATGACGCGGCGGGGGCGCGCGCAAAGAGGGGAGGGGGACGTTACGAGCTCTCGCACCATACAAATCATGTTGGCATTACTACGTCAGGCCTGGACTCAACTTGTCGCGCGACCGGAAACTCGATACCGCTCCCCGATAATGCTGATTTATCGGGAAGTGCAGCGGCGGCCTAGGCCGCCGGCGTCATCGAGCCCGCTCGGCTGCGTTTTGTATTTTTGCCGTCGGTGATGTAGCGCGATTTTTCCGGCTAATCGAGAATTACGGGTTCACGGGTGAACGACGCTGCGCGAACCCCTCTCGCATGTCGGAATTTCTGCGTAAAAACGCGATGACCGCGAGCCATGGTCCGGCACGATTTTTTTTTCATTTTTCTTTTTTCATTTTTAAATACGACTTGGATGTCCTACCTTTCGAGATGTTTGACAATATCTTCGTAGGCAGCTCGGCAGTTTTCCCAAACCGTCCCGGACCTGTGGAGCACAAAACAAAAGGCGATTACGATAAAAAATGGAAACGAAAGCCTGGGCCTCGGAAACATTGCAAATCAAAAGGGAAACGAAAGGAGAAACGCGTCGAGATTCGCGTCGTGGATGAAATTGCATAATCGCGAGCGCGTCCTCCTGAGGGAGGACACGCTTGATTAAGAGTCCTCGTTTCGTCTCATCTCTCTCGGCTACGTCGCGATTCGGCCGTTGCCGAACGCACCGAGAATGAAGAGTCTTTGATGTCGCTGATTAAAAAAGAGACGTCAGCGCGGGAGGAGCGGAGTTAATTTGTACCTAGAATCGCGCGGAGGAAAAAAGAAGGTACGACGAGAGAGGAAGGAAGAGCGGATAAGTTAATCAAAGGGCAGGGGAGAGGAGGGATCGAATCTTCGTTTGCGCGATGCAAGAACGAGACGGAAATTAAATGGCCCCGAGATCGTACGTCTCGAAAACGTTCTTTCAAGTATACCTCCCCGATCGACGGAGAGACGCTTCAGAATCTAATGTCAATATACGCCTGACACAATTTCCACGGATCTCGTTCGCGTATTTGCGGAGCGGAAAATGAACGATGGCGATGTGAGGGAAAGCGAGGAGCGCGAAAGCCGTACGTGTCGCTCGTGGAAACTGAAGAGGTCACGCCGGATGACGAAGGGCGGAGGGAGGGAAGAAGGAGATATACGTCGAGTTAAGGGATGGCGATAGAGACGGGGCGGGCTGGACGAAAGGGACGCGGTGACGGCGGTGGCGTCGGTGTCCCAGGATGGGGTTGCGTTGAATTAATCATATTCCGGTGTTTGTCGTGGCGCCCCCAGACGTAATCCGTCTTACCTCCCGATCTCTCTCGCTCCTCCGCCGCGATAGATTTGCATTTTAATTAAAAGCAAAGCGCTGAAATCATAATGCGAAACGTGCGGCGCCGCCTTCGCCGTGTCATTATACGCGCGCGTGCGTGTGTGCGTGTGCGTGTCCGCGTGCACGCACACTCGCTCTCACGCCGCGTCGTCGAGAAAGATTGAGACGCGTTAAAAATCCGGAGCGTCGGTTCTGCATTAAATAATCTTCACGTCGTCGAGTTTGCATTCAAAATGCGCGCCGGATACGACGGGAAAAAATACCCTCTCCTTTGTTTTTGGTCATCCTCTTGTCTCTCTTTCGACGCGAAATCGAGTTGAACGCCCTCGAGAGGAAGAAACGATCGAATCTCTCTCTCTCTCTCTCTGTCCGCTGCCAAGTCCCGATTTTCCAAGCGCACGCCGCCTAAAGCGAACTCTCGGGCAAAGAGGGTAATGGTTGGCGGAACGGGGCTAATTACACGGGGCGGATGTAATCGAAAATTAAGGCGAGTCTCCGTATCCTCCAAAGCTTTGGCTGGCTACGGGAGCGCTTCGCGGCGAGCGAGAACGTACCGAGAGCATCTATTAGAAACGCGTTAACAAATGCCGGGATTAGTCTCGTGTCTACCCCCTCGAGCAAGGACGAGAGGATGCTGTTCCTTTGGTTTCCCTCTCTCTCGCCTCTCTCCGCTTCTTTGCGGCTCTCTCTGTAGTCTACGGAACCGAATAAGCCGCGATATTCGTCTTGGGACCACATAAGGCGGAGATTTGCCACCCCAACAAGACCTCCGTCTTCAAAGGTGGCCTAACGCCGCGCGAGGATAAACTTGAATGGTCGTACAACTTCAAGGTCGAGCCGAGTCGTGAATAATGTCGAAGCGCGTTCTTGAAACAATGAGAGTTCTTGGACGTAAGATTGAATTACATTTTGCGAACATCTTTCAGCGAAAAAATTAATTATAAGCGAAATTGTAACTGTGCTTACTTTTTAAGAATTAAAATTCAAAAGAAATCGCTCCATTTTAAATATTCAGCACAGAAAAGGGGATTAGTCATCGATCATCGACGTGAGGCAGTGAAACGTAATCCAAGCCGAGTAAATGACGCGCGTCTAAGAAAGCAAAGTCGAAGGAAGACAAAAAAGAGACAATAACGAGGAAAGGTGAAAGAAGGGGAAAGAGATCAAGCGGTATCGAAACCCCTCGGATTTCCACGGCTTCTCTTGAAATCCTCTTAAAGTCGTATTCCTTTGGCCTCGCCGGCCAAAGAGCGCCGGTGATAAACTCGAAACAGATCAATCCAATTTTCGAATGAGCCCCGATCTCGCTCGAAATTTTCATTTCCCGACAACTCCTCCCTCATCTTTCGTCGATACACTCGTCTCTTTACGCCTGCATCTTCATTCTACGTGACTTGTCCCCGATCGGCTCGTAAAGCACGGAGGAGGAAATTAATGAAAATGTTTCCTGCTGCGAGAAGGCGCAGCTTCCGGAATATCATCGCTCGCAAGAACATCCGACACGACGGGATAAGCAGAAGGGAAGAGAGAGAAACTCACCTCGCGAGGGCTTCCATGTTGGTCATATTCGGGTTGACCTTGAGACCCTGTTCGGCGCGAGCCTGCGCCTGCGCCTGCAGGTGATGCGGTAGACTGGCCGGTGACAGGATGGCGGTGTGTCCCGCACCTGGGTGTCCGCCGAGCTGCATGAACTGCATGTGGCTCAGGTGCGTGGGTGGGTGATTGTATCCGTTCGCCAGAAGCGGTGACTTCTCCATCCTCGGTACGTCTGCAAGCAAAATATTCACGCGCGTTTGTGAGAGATCTCATACAGTTATCGCACGATACTTGAATGTTATCATTATTCACTCTAAGGTTTCCGCTGAGAAATTGTGTAAATTCAATTATCGATCTTCCTCCGCCTCTTGTAATAGCTCGGGATACGGGGAGAGAGCGAAAGAGAGGCGAGAGCAAGACCGAGAGAATCAAGGAAGGAGAACCGGGCAGAGGGGAAGTATGAACGTGTATCCAGATTTCATCGGAATCGGGTGAGACGTGTAGCTCCCGGCGAGTCAAGGATAAAGAGCGCTTTTGCGGGCTTGATGGATCGCCGGCCGCTTAACCAAATATCAATCACAACATGTAGCCTCTGCATATAATCTGCGCGTTGATTCGCGTCCGTCAGTTAGGCCCGTGTGTTTGCGCGACGCCTTAGCAAGCCACGTGATGGATTCGCGAACGAATCCGTAGGACCCCGGGTAAATCGCCGACCTGGGGTTTCATCCTAGCTGTATCGATGATTCTCTCTCCCTCTCCTTCTCGTCATATCGGGCTTATTGCCATATATTCCATATCGGGGATGCGGCAGCGCGCTTGTATTATTCTTCGGTTCGCTCGATTTTTCAAGACAAGCGCGGCTCTCTCTCCCTTTCTCTCTTTCATCGCAACGCGATAATGTATGCGTAGTCACGTTTTTTGATCGATGCCACGTATCTTCGGCGCGTGTCTTCAGTTGTAGGGGGAACGCGCGTCTCGTCGCAATTTGTCATAGCACTGCCAACACATCGATATATATTTCATCCTTGAAGATATTTCGATATCGATGTGACGAGCATCGGGATGAAATTCACTTCCGCGTCTAGATCGCGCATCACGCTCGGATTATGCAGCCTTCCCCTGAGGATATGCGTTCGAAACTTGTCGAGGCCGTTGCTTCTCGCTCTCGGGCGAGGATGAAATCCCGAATTCTTCCTTAAGTGGTCTCGCTCAAGTTCGACGGCATCCCGCTGCGATTTATTGCGTCTTTCTCGGAACCGTCATCCTATGAAATATTAGATAAACGATACTGTTGTCATTCGGCCAACAGCCGAGCTGGTCGACGCGCCCTTTGGGGGCCCAGGCCGTGCGCGAGAGAGAAGCGGAGAGAACGAGAAGACGGAGAGAAATGGGAAGGGGTACGGAATGAGTAGTGCCTATTCATTACAAATTATCTAAATGGCAGTGATTTCGGCGGACCGGCTGGCCGTTTGACGAGTAAGTGGCGGGTTCGCCGGTCCCAGTGACTGTCATTCCACGCCGGCCCTGGGCCAATTGGCAGCCGGCGACCAGCGAGCGACCGAGTCGCTCGACAACCACTGCGGGACCCGGCCCATGACCGGTCCTAAAATTGGACTTATTACAACTTATAGAGCGCGATTTGAACGCTCCGCTCAATAACATACATTATCCCCAATCCATATGATTTAATGAAATCTCTCTAAACTCGCCACTTAGCCTCAGTACCTTCTCGCGCAGTGCCCCTTTTTGTATATGTTGCCCTCACGCAGACTGGTACGTGTATTCGCGAAAGCGAGAGAGATGCTTGAGAAAATCATCCGAGCGTGTTTCGATCATTGTAAGTACCTAAAATGCATGTTTCGCAATTTTACAGCCCCGACAATACGTATTTACCGAATGCACGCAGCGTTCCGTGATTGATGAAGACGTTGCGCGATCCTTGACGCGTGACGCTACGCACAATCTCTCTCTCTCTCGGAAGAACACGCGCCCCTCCTCTTTAAACACGCGTCAAGATCTCGATCTCTCATCCGGCTTTAACTCGCCGCGCTCCATAATAAGCGAGCATTCTCTCGCGAGCGATGCATTTAGAGATTGTCATACGTCGCGTCGAATTCGAATGGTGAGAATTCGGCCGCTGTTCCGTTCAAAAATCGCGCGAGAGGCCCGAAAGAGGAGGCGCTTCGGGCGACTCAATCATCCTCCGGGTCGCCGATCGCCGGGATCTTAAAAGCCAAATGCGAAGGACGATAAAACACAATTTGAGCTAAAGACTGCACTCCTATAACCCCCCGTCCCCCTGCCCCCCGCGCAGGGGGCAGAACGCGCCGCCACCTCCCCCGGACCCTCCCGGAGGAGCTCTGATGAGGTGACAACCCATAATTATACAGACCGCTTTCTGTCTGGGGCTGACTGCGGTGGCATGCAGAGGAGAGGCCTCCATCATCCTCCTCCGTCCCCCCTCGCCCTCCCTCATCTCTTCCTCGTCCCTCTCCCCCGCTCTTATTTCCTCTTCTCCGTTCTTCCCCCTCTCATCCGCGTCTCCTTCTTCCTGCGTTCCTTTCCATTTTCTTCTTCTTCTTCTTCTTCTTCGGTTTCTCATTCTCAAGTTGGCTCAGGAGGTTCCGGGCCTCAATCCCGACGCTTAATAGTGATACGTACGTTTTCTTCACGTGAGGAAGAGTCGAAGGTGGAGCGAGTCAAAGCGAAATGACGGCGGGGGAGGAGGCAGACTGACCGGAGTAGTCGCTTCCACCCGTGCCATGCTTCGTCCCGTGCCCGTAGGAGAAGAATAACTTCTGCTACTTCTTTCTTGGTGTTAATTACAAAACGCGAGAATAAATTGCCGGGCTAAATGAGTGCCCGGTATCTCTCGTCGGTCTCGTCACGTCTCGTCTTTTCCTTCGTCCTGCGACTCGCCGCTGCCACGACGCGTCGGATATGAATGAAGGCTCCAACCGCACACGTATACATGTGCAACGCGAATGGAATTTATCAAGCATCGTTGAATCGACTATTCTTGCCGCAACCACTATTACAGGTACAGCATCGTATATATGTCAGCGTAATTCAAAAAGATATATATTCAATCTAAGGGGGCGGAATCTCTCGAATGTAGACTTTGACATTAATGCTAAGGCGACTTGTCCGATGTAAATTTATCAAAAATTCAAAGGTTAAATTCGCGTAAATTTTACCTTAGCATATAAACGTTAAAGAACAATGCGATCAGTTTCTCGTCGGAAATATTTTCCCTCCGAAACTTGGACTCGTCGTTGCGGTTCTTTTCGTCTTCCGAACGAAGGATCGCGCTTCTTTCGGTCGGCCAAGTACTGGCGAAAGAAGGGTCATGTGAAATTATTCGGAAAATATGCCCTTTGTGCTCGTCGTCCTCGGCGCAACCAGCATTGTTCTTACCAAACGACGAAGAAATCTATCGAGGGCCACGCTCGAATCCACTATAAGCGCGTGTTTGTGCTTAAGCACGTATATACATATGTTTACCCTCGACACCGACTCCCTCAAAACCCTTGGATTTAACCCTCCAACACCGACCCTCCGGCTACGGCCGATGACATCGCGACTCTACGAGCTGTTCTCTTCGAATTCCGCTCGCTTGTGCAGTTTGCTCGCTCAATTAAAAAGAGTACGTAAATCGCATCGAGTCTATTTAAGCACGAATCGTGCGAGCGCAAGAATCTGGGCCGATCTGGGAGATGAAAATCGAGCGCAACGAAAAGACGCGTATACACGTGCAGCGGAATAACCAACATTATTCCACGCGAGCGTGTATTGGTACATAAACACAAGACGGGAAACACAGTTTCGCGCAGGAGGAATCCGGTTTTTCAAGTAATCGAGAGTCGAAGCAACCAGCCAGGCCAGGCAGGCAGCCATCGAGGTAGCCCCGAACGTCGGTCGAGTCTGGAAAGAACGGAGGAGAGAGTGGATACCATGGGTATCCACACCTCCTCGCTCCTCCTCCGCTTCGTTGTGTATTCCTCTTTCCTCTTTCTTACTCACCGTACCTATCTCTCTTAATCAATCGATCGGATAACACGAAGATGTACCGAAACGTATCTCGCGACTGATGAGTAGATCATCTCATCTAAACGGTTATTGAAATTAATATATTTTCTTATGCATAAATAATTACTCGAGGAATTAAAAAAAAATTGTTTGCCAATCATCAGTATTTTTACGATCTTTCTCGTCGTGAAAAGCAACGCGAGAATATTGAGACATAGACGAGGCATCTCAGCTGACAAAAGGTTACGCGCCTCGAGGAGAAGAAGCAGAAGAGGCAACTAATCTTGTCCGGGGTGTATCGTAACGACAATAACGTACGAGAGAAGCTTCAGGACTCTCTTTTTCGAGTCCACTGCGAATCTTGGCATCGCAGCTTTATCGAGTCCTTCCTCTCCCCTCTTCTTCTGGCCGTCAGCTTTCTTCCCACTCTTCTCGCGGTCCAGTATTTGTTCTTCCAGCGCCTCTCCTCCGCCACGGAGGAAATCATCCAAGGGCAGTAAACCCTTTGATATATAGTCGAAGGTTTTTAGAGTTCTGTCAGCCACGCCCACAATCAGCCTTAGTATTATTTACACTCCTCGTGCATCGTAGACGATCGTCTCTCTCTCATCTTTCTCTATCTGTACTTTTCCCTCTTTCTCTCTCTCTCTCTTTCTCTTTTCTTCTCTCTCTCGCGTCTCTTCCACTGTCCAAGTCGAAACTAACGTCCTGCTCTCCCCTCTTGTCCTCTTCGTCTTGATCACTGGCCTTTCGTCCACTTTTTAACGGTTTCCCCGACGTATCCTGTCGCTTTGTCTTCGGGCGCTCTGCATAATATAACAGTGCCAACCCGGAGGCCGTTGGGGGAATCTTGAATCTTCTTTTGTTCCTATCCTATTTACTCCCCCCCCGCTCTCTCCGTCCTTTCGCCTCGTTCGTCTTCCCTCCTCCGGGAGAGCCGAGCCCTTCGATGAACGTACTCCGAATTTATAAAATTAGGTACGATCGCGGCTACGTCTTTCGCGAAATTATCTATCCCCGACGAAGATACTCCTCTTCCTCTCGATCGTACCCGCGGGGCCAGATTTCGGGTTTCGCTCCGCATCTAAAAGCGTACCCCGCGAAAAGAGGATCGGCCGGGCCGAATATAAATCGACGCATATTTCGTGCGACGCGAAATTTATCGGCCTGAAATTTCGATGATCCGATTATCGACACCGAATA